AGGACTCTGGGAAGCGTCTTCTACAACCATATTATTATGCCAGACTTATTCATAAACATTTTGTGCTTGCTTTGAGTCAGAGACATAGAAAAAAATATTGCAAATATCACCAAACTCAGCTGATGTCAATGCTGCTCTGTGCTAATTAAACCACCAAATCAGTTTGAAAACTGCTTCTGCCCCTCTCAAGACAGAGGGGTTCTTTTTCCCTCTCCTCTTCTAGCACAGGACCAGCAGTAGGTGGAAACTAACATTGTGCTTCTAGGATGGCTCTTCTCCATCCCTACACACCTGCACCATCACCTTCTTTGAAGCATGTGGATATGTTTAAACCATCACACTGTGAAGGTCTTGAACCTCTTTCTCTCCTACCACTGACATCAGCTGGGGCAGCTTCATATCCACGTGGCATACAGTAGTCTTGCCCTCCTTCCCCAACCAGGTTGTCATCAGATCCAACCTACTTCTAAGTAGAGATCAGGGAACATGTTAAATAAATGACCAGCTTGCAATCTGCAAAACTCAGAATGTGGACAACCACAGAACAAGTGTCCCAGGTCCTCTAGGACAAACTGCAGAAGAAAAAGAAATGGAACTCATGGTGAAGAACTTGCAGGTTAAAAGTAAAAAGAAGCAAACTACACAAATGCAGTGTGGGCCTCTCATTTGCATCTTCAAGCAATTTAACTTAAAAAAAAAACCTATTTTAAAAACAAGCAGGGAAATCTGAATGTTGACTGGTGATATTAGAACATTCATGTTGGCTTTTAAATCTTTGATAATAAAATTATGTGTTTTTAAAAAGTCTCTATATTTTATGTATAATGAAATATTTATAGACAAACTAATTAGATGTCAAATAATTGCTATAAAGTAATCCAGAAGTTATAGGTGGGGAGAAGTAAGTTGAATGCTGTAAATGAAACAAGATTGGCCAATGGGCCATGTGTGCATGAAGCCTCCATCTAAGAGTCTTTCTGCTCTTGTATTTTCCCTAAGAAAACATGGAAGGAAGGCCAATGGCGATGACTAAGCCAATCTGGTAGCTTTCCAGGCCCCGATGCACTTGAACTACACACTCCGTCACGCCCTGGACCTTGGCTCCTGGAGCAGTTTCATACCTTCCTGCCCACCCCTCTCCTGCCCTTTGACCACATTAGGTCCTTTTATCTGAGGGCCTCTCCATTCACTCCCTGTCTTTCTGCTGTCTTTGGTCAAGATCCAGGGGTTCAGCACTTGAACCTCTTTCCCTGCGCACTCCCATCACTAGTGCTCACACCCGGATGCAAAGCCTAACCTGGCTAGTCGAACTAACCACCCTTTTCTGCTCCTACTCCTGATCCATCCCAATTGTAGTCACAGCAGCTTCCCTGTCTCCAACCTCAGCAGGGTCCCCACGCCATGGAAGCACCTTTCAGTGTGCCCTGTGTCCTTCACTATCTTGAAGCTCCTTTCATCTCAAAGCTCCATTCCAGCCCACTCACTCATCACTCTCAAAGACGGGTCATTCACCAAGGAAGGCATCACCACTGATTCAGACTCCACCAACCTCCTCCAACCCAGACTGTAAAATCCTCCTCATGTTCTCCCCACTCTTCCTCCACTTCTCCTGCCTCTTGAAAGAAGCTGAATCGCCATTTGTTCCAGTCTCAGAACTTTCAACTCTTTATAGTTCTATAATGTTTTCAATTACCTGCCCCTCTCATTCTCTCTCCTGGCTCTTCAATTATCTAATCATATTAAAGTATTCTAGTTTCTAGATTTTTCTCCTCTCACCTTTGTTGTTGAGTGATTGATCACCATTCATACTTCAACTCAGTGTTACTGGGATTCTCTTTCCTTACAACCTCAACTGACAAAAGTCTATCACTAATATTCACTTTATCATTATTGCTTGAATAAAAGAATGGGAAATGAAATCTTGAATTACATGTAGAATTAAAAGTAAGTTAAAAAAGACCAGAGACTCTAGTGAAAGAAGCCGAACACCCAAGAGTACATTTTGTATGATTCCGCATATATGAAACCAAGAAGAAGCCAACGGCTGCACTGTGAATACATAAGAACAGCAGCATCTTTGGCTGTACAGAGGGTGTGAGGGAGCCTTCTGGCTACTAAAAACATTTAATATCTTTAGCAGGGTTGCTACACAGGCATGTACACATGTAAAAATTCATCTTGCTGTATACCTGAAATGTGTGTACTTTACTGCATATAAATTATACAAGCGTTAAAAATTAAATAGAAAGATGTACATTTTCCAAAATGGGAAAGAAATTGCTGTGAATTTAGAGCAACATCCCTAATTCAAGAACATGGTTAGTGCCATGAGATCAAAGCATTAAACATTAAAATTACAAAGTGTAGCTCTCTGCTCTAATCCCAAGCTTAACAAACCAGCTTTGGGATCCAGTTTGACTTCCCATGTGGCTTGCTCAGTTAATCTTTACATGTACTTATGCCCGTGCCACTCACACCAGGATGCTTTCATTATTAATGAACTAATACATTTGCAATCTGGCTTGGAGATTTCAGTCTCCAGAAACTTACCTCATAGCTACTAAGTAGTACTGGTCCCAAATGATTCAGACACCTCCAAAGTGCTAACAAAGTTTTCTCCTTTTCTCACTCCACAGGCTTACCTGGTGAGGCTACAGAGAAGTCAGGACAAATCTGCTGTCCCCTGACAATTTTTGTCTATGCTGTTCCAAGAAAGGGCAGTTGAGGGATGGGCAGAAGCAGTGTCCAGAATGGGCTCAGGATTCACAAACCCATCTCTTTGGTACCTTTTCTTTCTCTATGGCTAAACTCAGCTAAAGCTGAGTTTTTGCCATTTCTCTCCTTATTCCTTGTGGCTGTCTCTAGTACCTCTGCTTTCCATTTGCCCCACCTCCTGTTCCTCTGCCATGAGGAAACCACACCTTGGTCAATGGTTCCCCAGTAATTCCATGTTCAAATTCAAATAACTACACTTGGTTGCAGTAACAGATTCACTTAATCCTCAGCCACTCCACGCCCACACCCAAACATTCGGCTTCGTTCACTCTTGTTAATGGTGCTCTGATGGCCATTTGGGATGGAACAATGCTTTGTTGTGCAGAACTCTCTTGGGCATTTCAGTAGGTTTAGCATCCTTGGCTCCTGCCCAGTGAATGCCTATAGTACCCTACCCCCAAATATTGTGATAATCAAAACATGTCTCTGGATATTTCCAACCATTCACAGCTGCCCCTTTTTTCCATGGGCTACCTCCTACTGGTCCTTCATACCTCAGCTCATACAACTGCTTTCTTCGTAGGTCAAGAACCCAGAACATCAGTGATTCAATATGGTGAAACTGAATATTGTTTCCTTTTGGAAGCCTTCACTAATGATGTCCTGTGGCACCCAGTGGCACTTTACCAAAGTGCTTACCACCACGTGTTGCAATAGATGGATACTTGTCCCTTCCCCGCACCACACTGCTCAACCCTAATTATCCTTGAGCAAGTTACCAAGTCTTAAGTCATTTAATCTCTCCAACACTTGGCACAGTGCCTGGCACATAGAAGTACTAAGCCTGTGCTTGCTGAATAAACAACAGGATGTTGAGCATACTTTCCCTGATGACTCAAAGTTACTATTCTTGGGCACAGATACGTCTCCGAGGTATATTGAGCCACTTACTCTTCTGGCTCTTCTTCAAATGACCCACCTCTGCCCTCCTTTATGGATGTGTGCATCTGGAGTTTGCATCATGTCATCAGCATGTCTGCCTTCAGTGATCATCCATGTCCCTCCCAAACCAAGGCAGACCCTTCAAAGTACTGTGTTGAGGCAAACCATGAGTTTCAGTGCATGAACACTGACAGCAGCCACCTTGTTTCAGGGTCCCTGCACCTTATTGCTGGGTTCCTACTGGGTTTTATCTGTTTGAAGTCTCTCCATCTAGTGAAGTGGTCAGATTCTAAGAACTGTCCAAGTAGTTATTTTCCATTTGGAAACTGCTTATAGAAGACTCAGGAGGGCTTTAGAGAAAGGTTCCTATGCTAAGGTGACTATTCCAAGCATCCTGGCTCATGAAAGATGATGGACCAAGAAATTACTCCTGTTTTTTTGTCAATGATTGTTGTGTTCCTCTGACATTCACAGAGTTTATAGGCACACTTTTTTAAAAAAAAAAATTTAGTTGTAGTTGGACACAATACCTTTATTTTGTTTATTTATTGTTATGTGGTGCTGAGGATCAAACCCAGGGCCTCTCATGTGCTAGAGAAGCACTGTACCACTGAGCCACAACCCCAGCCTCCATACTTTTTGATATTAAAAAATTATAACAATAAACACTTTACTATGGATCACAAATGTAAGATCTTTCTGATTTTTGGTTTGGGTGACTTTGAATTTAAAAACAAAAACAACAATTCTTGTGGAATCAATTCCAGGGCCATGAGGGATAGATATAAAGAAAATATTCAGGCAGAAATAAATGAGGATTATAATTTTTCAGAAAATGTTCTTAACTGCTGTCTTCAAGTATTTTTATTATGTGTCTTAATAAATGATGATCAGCAAGTAAATTTTTGTGCTTTGTTTTATTTTTAATATTAATCCTTCTTATAATCATTTCTGTCTTTTAAAATATCATTACAATTTAGGAGACAAAATTATGTACACAGAAGAATGTTAAATAGTTTTTTTAAAAAATAGCTTATTGCTTGCAAGAAGGCCATATAATCTTATTCCCATACCTTGCACTAAGCCACATAGCTTATGGGAAATTATTATTAAATAGCTATATCTACTGCTATAAATAACTTAACATAAAATGGAGCATAACTAATGTGATGCTTAAACAAAGCAAACTATGATGCAATATGAATCAACTTCATCCATTGGACAAGTCCAATAAAGCAGAGGTCAGGTAGTGCCGAAAAATGTGCAAGTGAGACTTCCAATCCCAGCTGGGATCTTGTTTTTCTTGAGCTGTGTCTAATTCCATTCCAGAAGAGCATCTGTTTTTACATCTTCTTGACTCTTTGACTATAAAGAGAAAAAGAAGGAAAGTGTAAGAAAAGACAGGGTGGCTGAATCATGGGAATGGCTTTGGGACCTGAAGGTCATTTCACATGTCCTTAATCTCATCTCAGAATGTAAAGCAGCTCAAAGTCTGCTTAATGAAACTCAAGTTTAGAGATGATGCACCTTTCTGAATAGCTAAGCTAGTTCATGACAGAAACAGAATGTAAACACTAATCTTGTGTTTCCAAGTTCAGTGTCTATAGCACAATGGTGTTAGGGGCCATTTATTGATAAAATGTTATTCTCTAGTGTCATCAATATAAATCAGAACCTCTGGACTCTTCTTAACTAATGCTTACTTTTCAGTTTTTAACAATCAAACATCAAGTAGAGCATAAATTCTGTAAATAGGAAGCATCATTGCAACAGGAATCAAGCAACTAGTGGCTGAAGAGAGCATAGAGGAATCTAATACTTCATGTGAACAAACACGAAATTAAAATGATAATGAGGATAATGATCTATATGTGGGGAAATTTCCTTTTATTTTCATCATTCAATCCCAGCACATAGGCTGAAGAACCCCAGCAAGCGTGCAATGGACCCCTCTGCACACACCCCTTTCCCCTGCACTTGGAGAGAGGCTAATTGATTGCCTGTCATCCATACCTGAGCATACGCACAGCTTTCTTCACCCAGGGCTTCTTTGGATCTGCACACACAGCTAATTTCTTCTTTGTGTAAAAGCTAAAAAGTCAGAAAATTTGATTTGTGTTTAATAAATTTTAAATGTCTTTTTCACAAAACATACAACGTACATTTCCTATTTCAGTGGATTGCTCTACACGCTAAACATTTCAGCTAAAGAGGTAAAATGAAATGCAAAAAAAAAATGCTCATGATATATGAGGCAATATATCACAATGATTATCCTTGACTTTTTCTGCAATATAACAAATAATTATACAATGGCAGGAAGATAAACTTTAAAAATTTTTATTCAACTTTGCTGCTAGTGGTTACATGAAGTATGTATATATATATGATCAGTAACTTACATCATTCCTATATCCTATAGGAATCAAGAATATTTAAATGACAGAATAATCAGTCTGAGATTTTTACTTACAGGCCCAAACATTTTCAAGTAGAAAATATTTATTTCAAAATATATATCTCCCATATATTCCTGAAGTACATTTTAATAGCCTATAAGTTTATATTAGAAAATGATTTCTGCCTTATTTTTGTTCAAAAAAGTAAGCTTTAGCCTTACTTCAGTCCTATTTAAACTTCAAAGTAGATGTGTACTATTAACATAAAATTGCCTTTGCCACGTCAGTTATTTCTGAATGAGACTCTAAAAAGACCCCCCAAAAATATGAAATTCTCATGTAGTCTTGGTATAATTGATTGAAAATCAGTGAATGACTTACATGACAGCATCAATATCACAGGCTTCATTGGCCAACTGCTGTGTGAAGCCCACAAGGAATTTGTGATGAAAGACCTGCTCTGTATATCGTAGGCAGCAGTCAAAGTTGCTTGCTGCTGAAAGAGAAATGAAAGATATTAAACCCATGTGATGAACTTCTGTAACTGATATTATGGAACAATCTGAAGTTGTGAAAAAATCTAGTGAATCTGATTTGTGCAACAAATAACCCATTTTATGGAAGAATTTTAATTTCTTTGAAACCCATTTTGGGTTTCTGGATTCAGGTTAATGTAATTTCCAATTATTTTTTTACAAAATGGTGTTCTAGGAAGTTTGGGTTCAATAATAGTTTAGAAACACATGACTTCTCATGAATAAACTATCTTTAATAAGAAATGCAAACTGACAATATTTTATTTCAGTCTACCATAATCACTCAAAAATGTAGGCACCCTTTACATCCTCATTTGAAAAAAAAACACCTTAATAGATAAACCTTCCAAATTCAAAAAATTAATAAATTGGTAGATTTTAATCTAGTGTTTGTTACCAATGTTGAGAAATGGCCTTAGAAAGTAAAAGTTGATTTTTTGTTTTCTAGAAGCGATAGCTAAAGCACTTTGCAATTGCAACACCATTGATGGTGATTTAAAATTCTGTTCATAAAATGTTAACGTGCATTTTCAATCATGCACCTATTGCTAAAAGAGATGTACTCTTCAGTAATAAAGCAATACTTGGACACTACTCTGCATTAAATTATAACCTGCTATAAGATAAGGAATAAATTTTATCTCAAAGTTGGCAAGCGATGTCCCTTGGCTCATGGGGCTAATGAGGTCAAGTGCCATAGTCAACACTTAAAGGAGAAGTTTTGAACTTTACAAACATTGTTTCTTTGGGAAGGAAAAGGTTCAGGAAGTGGGAGAGTTCTGTATGCTTCAGAAGGACCTTTAATACAGACAAATGTTACACAGTTTACATCACTCCCCAAAATGGCACTTTGGTCTCGTCCTAAAGTTCTGGAGCCTCTGGAAGCCCACTACACCCCAAATCTGCTGGGATTCACAGCAGAGAAGAAGCCTGATTAGCTGCAATAACCCTGGTCCCCTCTACTCATCCATAAACTGACGACTCCCGCCCTTCCCTTTTGTATACTTCCTAACAGTCTCCCTTCCCCTGGGGACCTGCAGGACTTCCAGGCTTTACAGGAACAGAAGAACAGTTCTCCTGCACTCCATCCTAGCAGGAAAGAGAATACTTACCTTCTGACTCTCTGCAGAGGTGGAGGAGCAGCACTGACACCAAGGCAGCCAGGAGCAAACTCTTGCCACTGCACATCATTCTCAGCTCAAAGAATAGATCTGCTCAGCACTGTGGACCCAGTGCCCTGAGAGTGCTGTTCTGCTCTAATAACAGCCCTACTTATAGCCAAATATTGGGAATGTACACAGAAGGCGTGTTCTCACATGGGGTTTTCCCCATTGATCAATCTGCCCCACCAGTGACATCACAAAGAAAACCCTCAGGGAAAACTTCCTGCCTTTCCCTAATGTTGGGAAGGTGTGAGGGTCAGGGTGAAGGGCAGCGAGGATGACAAGGGGAGAATTCTGTTAAGCCTTTGCATTTCCAAAGAGGAAAAGCTGCTCAGTCCCATGGCTTCTTTCCAATTTTAACTTAAGCTCTTTGGTCTCTGAAAATAGAGGAGCAATGATACAAAGGTCAGCCCCTGACAGGAGCATTCCAGTACATCTATTGTTACAACTCTTTCCTTTCCAGCCTTCAAGGAGGGGGAGGATGAAATGGGATGCCAGACATACTGGAGCACACCTTCACAAAAGACCCTGTGATTCTAGATGAGCATTCAGAGCAGGAAATATAACAATGTGATAGTCGGGTCCCAAACTATGGTGGAAAATGCCAGCACTTAAGTAAAATTCAAATCTCAGCCTCTTCTTGATTTGATGTCATCCCTTGTAAGAATCGTTGACATTTATATGGCTCTAATCCATATGTCATCCCAGAAAATACCAGTCCCCACCTGTCTTTCATGCTTCGTGATGGTGAACTTATAGGTTAATGCAGAGCCTCAGCAGAGCTGGATAAAACATCATCAGTGGCTAATAACGAAAGAAACAAGTCCACTAATAGTGATGATGATAATGTATTATGAATTCCTGATCTAAGGTGGTGTAATAAGAACTGTCCACTAGACACAAATGGGTTGAAAACAAAATAATCAAAAAGATACACCATGCAGATGATAGGGAGAAAAATGTCTTTATATCTCTGTCAGACAAAATAGATTTTAAAACAAAAAAAGTTATTAAAGAGGAACTTTGAAAATGATAAAGGATCAACCCATCAGGAAAAATTAAAAACGATGATGATCTACACACTTAACAATAGGAACCCAAAATTCACCAAGAAAAAACGGACAGATGGAAGGGAAGAAAAGACAATTGAACAGTACAAGTTGAAGACCTCCACACCTCCCTTTTCACAATTAATAGAAAAACCAGACAGAAGATCCACAAGAAAACAGAAACCCAAATAGACCTAATAGACGCATGTAGAACATTCTACCCAGTGACAGGATGAGCATTCTTCTCAGGTGCATATGGAACTTTCTCTGAGATGAATGAGAACAAGTCTCAATAAATGTGAAAGGACTGAAATAATAGTAAGTTATGTTTTCAAATCACAATGGAGTTAAGTCAGAAATCAATAACAGAAGGAAATTCGGGGAATTCACAAATATGTGGGAATTAATCAACATATTCCAAAGGAACCAATGTGTCACAAGGGAAACCATGGGAGGAAATAGAGAGTACTTTGAGATGAGCGAAAACAAAATCAAATATACTAAAATGTTTGGGAAGCAGTGAAAGCAGAGCTTAGAAGGAAACTTACAGCTGCAGGTACCTACATAGAAAACTCAGATTTCAAATCAACAAGCTAATAGTCTATTTTAAGACACTAGAAAACATAGGGCAGGCTAAACTCAAAGTGTACAAAAGGGAGGAAATAAAAATCATTAGAGCAGGAAACGAATAAAATAGAGAATATCAAAATATACAGGAAATAAATAGAATAAAAAATTTATTCTTTGAAATGATCAACAAAATTGACAAGATTCACACTAATAAAGAAAAGAAAAGGAAAGATTCCTTCAAGAATGAAGGTGAATATAGAGATATAGAGCATATAACTATTGATCTTAAAGAAATAATAAGATTATAAGGGAATATTAGCATAGTTTTATACCAACAAATTAGATAACAGATAAAAACCAATTATTAAAACTGACTCAAATATAAAATGGAAAATATGAATACTTCTATACAATAAAAGATGTCAAATAAATAACTAAATTTTTTTTCCATGAAGAAAATCTGAGGACCATATTGTTTCACTTGGAAATTCTACCAAAGAAGAATTATCAATCCTTCACAGTTTTTTCCAAAAACAGAAGTGAAGAGAACACTTTCTAACTCATTCTATGAAAATGGTATTATAAAAATACCTTGATAAGAAAGATGAAAATTAAGAGAAGGATGTTTGCTTTAAACAACTTCTATTTAATATTTTACTGGAAGTTCCAACAGAAACAATCATGAAAGAAACAGGAAGAAAAGAGAATTCAGATTATAAAGGAAGTAGTAACTATGTTAATTTGCATACAATGTGATCTTCTGCATAAAAATCCTAAAGACTCCATTAAAAAAAATCAGAGCTAATAAAGTTCAGCAAGGTTCCAAAATTCAACATCATTATACAAAAATCAATTGCATTTCTATATGCTATCAATGAAAATAAAATTTGATGCCTTTACAATGGCATCAAAAAGAAAAAAATCTTGCTATAAATTTAATAAAAGAAGTAAAAATGTAACAAAAAAAGTACAAAACATTCTTTAAAAACCTATAGGAGACGTAAACAAATGGAAAAATCCCATGTTCATGGACCAGAAGATTTAATATAATAAAGGTGACAAAATTCCCTGACTCAAGACAATACCTATTAAAATTCCAATTGGTTTCTTTGTTGAAATAGAAAAACCAATAATTAAATTCATGTGAAATTTCCAGGAATACTGAAAAACCAAAACACTCTTGGGGAAAAAAAAAAGTTGGAGGATTTACAGTTCCTGATTCCAAAACTTACTATAAAATTATGCTAACGGAGACACATGTATCAGCTCAAGTACATGTAGATCAATGGTGTAGAACTGAGAAGCCAAAAGCCCCATATCTTTGAAAACTGATTTTTTTCTTAGAATGACAGAGCATTCAATGGCCCTGGAACTGCTGTATACATGAAAGGGAATGAAGTCAGGCCCTCAGCTCACACCATACACAAAAATTAACTCAAAATCGATCAGAGACATAAATATGAGCTAAAACTATGAAACTTAGGGGAAATCATAGGAATCAATCTTCATGACGTTAGTTGGACAAAATTTTTCTTAGATACAACATCAAAATGTCAAGAAACAAAATAATAAATTGTACTATTCAAAACTAAAAATTTTTGTGCTTCAAAGTTTGCTCTAAAGAATGTGAAAAGGAAGGAAGTATTTACAAATTATATATCTGTTAAAGAACTTTCACCTATATGTAGACTATATTAAAGAACCCTTAGAATTCACTAAGAAGATAAATAACACAACTTAAAAATGAATAAAATATCCAGGCACGGTGGCATGCCCATAATCCCAGCAGCTTGGAAGGCCGAGGCAGAAGGTTTTCAAGTTCAAAGCCAGGCTCAGCAAAAGCAAGGCGCTAAGCAACTCAGTGAGACCCTGTCTCTAAATAAAATACAAAATAGGGTTGGGAATGTGGCTCAGTGGCCAAGTGCCCCTGAGTTCAATCCCCAGTACTCATCTCCAAAAAATGAATAAAATAGCTGAGTAAACATTTCTCAAAAAAAAAAAAAAAAAACAGATATATAAATGTTCAACGAGCATCTGATGCTTGATGCTATTAGTTATTAGGGACTTGTACAAAACCACCAAGACAAACACACAAAAGGCCACATATTGTAGAGTCACGTTTATGTGAACTGGCAGGTCAATAGTTAAGAAGTAAAACAGTGACATCCTAGGACCAAGTGGGCTGGGGGTGGGGGAGGAAAGGCAGGTGGGGAGTGACTCCTGATGGCGTGTGTTTTCTTTTTTCTCTATTAATTAAAAGTAGATATTGATGGCAGTTGCATAACCTGGAAAATAACTGAAACACATTGATGTGTACGTTTCAAAGGGTGAATATTATGGCATGTCAGTCATATCTCAATAAAGCTGATAAAAACAACAACAAAGAAACTGTCCCTCTACTGGGTCTAACACTCACCCCACCCATCATCCTTCCTACTTTTATTGCCACTCAGGGCTGCTTGTAATCTGTTTTCATTTCTCCTTCTTCCTGAATGCCTATTATCTTTCCTCCTCCCCGTGTCTTTCTCATATCCAATCACATCTTGCTTGTTTTTCCCTTTCATAGCCATAAAATTTTTTTTAGTCTTCTATATTGAAAGTTGATTTCCTTATGCATTATGGGATAGATATGTCACTTCTTATTTGTCACTTGAAAACTTTTTAAAGCATGACCCTTGACTGTTTTGGATGGTTAGTTGTTTTTTCTTTTGGGGGAGGTAAGAGTCAGTTAGAGAATGTGCTAATGGGAAGGTTAACATTGGAAAATGGTTTCAAAAAAAATTTATTAAATGTTATTTATTACACTAGAATTGATCATCCAACTTTTCTTTTTAATATTTCAGGCACATTTCAAGGAAGACCTAATCCTGTCATGTGGCAGGATCTCCATGTCTTACTCTCCTCACTCCAAAAAAGATTTGATGAGTGATGAGTGTCTTTTAAGGAGGGGTCTTAGTGGTGTATAGACACAGGTAGAACAAGATGTCTGGATTCAAGGGGACTTAAAATAACAGAGGCCACAATAACTTCCATAATACCTATAGAATAAGGCAATATGGGGTTATGTTTCATATTCATAATCTATGAAACATTATCATACAAACTGTCAGCAAACTGTGACCATCTAAAAGTTACTTAACTCCCATTCAGTTTCTGTGACAGATGGACATTTTAGACCTGTCATGCTTACTAACCTGAGCGTCAATCAAAAAACATTCCTTCTGGTAGAGCTCATGGAAAGTTCTTTGGAAGATAACAGGACTTCCTCTTAAAGCAGCATTTATCACACACCTATTAAGTGCAAGTGGTTGTACCAGGGGGTGTGCTAGAGAAGCAAGGAGGCAGGATATTTGATCCCTATCAGGAGAAGCTCCTTCCAGGAAGGAAACCATTGAAGAATAAATTATAC